GGGGGGGGGGGGGGGTTCCCCAGCAGTTGTGGGTGGAGGGGGGAACCCACCAGCACCCCAGGCAACCCACCCTGGGGATGGGGACCCCCCTCAACCTACCAGGCCTGGCTCTCGATCCACTGCGACAGGTAGTGCCGCACCTCAATGGGAAAGTGCTGCCCGTAGAGCGCCTGCATCTGGCGCAGGGCTTCGCCCTGGAGCTGCTGCGCCTGGATCCACACCGCCATGGCTCACCTCCTGCCGGGACACGGGCTCGTCAGGGGGGGACCACGGCCCGGATGGTGCTGTTCCGGGGTGGGGGGCTGACCCTAGCCTCCCCCACAAACCCCTTTGTAGGGTTCCCAAAGCCCTTTGCGGGTTCCTCCGGGTTCTCCGGCGCTGCCTGCCTCCCGCTGCCGGAGGAATGGGCGCACAGCGATAGGGGACCCCGGTTCCGAGTCACCCCCTCTTTTCCAGGAAGAGCCCTGGTGGGGCCGGAGGACACGAACGCGCCTCCGCGCTGCCTCCCCACATGGTAATCATTTCCCCTCGCTGCGTGGGATCGCAGCCATGGCTGGCCAGGAAAATGAGGAAACGGGGCCGGGGGGAGGGGGGGGGCTGGTGAGAAATCCAGGGTGACGCAGAGCAGAGCCCGGGGGGGGGGGGGGGGCTGGGGAAAAAACCAGGGGGACGCAGAGCAGGCCCCCCCCCCCCCCGGCGCTCGCCCACACCCCGGCAGGCAGAGGGGCAGGAGCAGCCCCCTGGTCCCACAGGGGGTCCCCTCGGGGCCGAGGGGACACGTGGCACCGCAGCCCCCCGGTCCCACGGCCACCACGGTGTGTGGCAGCTCCACGGAGAAGTGACACTGGAGGGAGCATGGATCTTCCCAAAGCAAGTTTGGGGGGGCTCCCCAGCTCCCACTTGGCCCTGGCAGGCAGGGAGACAGGATAGCCAGGGAACAGCACCTAGAAAAAACCCCAACATCCCAGACCACAGCTGTATGTGCAGCTTGGGGGGAAACACAACCCCGACGCTGAGGGGCTGAGGGTGACCTGACAGTGATGCCCTGCCCCCCCCCCAGCCCAGGATGCAGCAATAAATAGATTTTACACACGCTCACACCCAAAATGCCTGGGATTTCGTGCCATGGAGGGTGCCAAGCAGGGACATGAGGGCTCGGGCTGCATCCCAAGGGTGGGTGACAGGGACAGGACAGCACTGCCCCGGCTGGTGACAAGCAAAGTGAGCTGGGGACCACAGGGACCGTGCCTGCCTCCTTCCCTCCCCAGAGCACCTTGCTCAGCCTCAGAAACACCCCAAAAGGCTCCAAAAGCCATCCTGTGGGCAGGAACACACACCAGGGACAGTGGCAGCGGGTCCCAGCTGAGCAGCCACAGCCAGAGCCCCCAAGCCCCCCCACACACAGGAAGAGGACCGATAACCGTGAGATGGCTAAAAATTCATTTTTCCCCTCTAAAAAGGGAGGAACATTTCCACAGCCACAGAAATGGACGAGTTGGAAATCTCGCTGGCGAGGAGGGGCCCGGGGAGGTAGAAAAACGCCGGCGAGAAGGGGAAGGGAAGGCAGGATGGCCGCCAGCCGGCAGCTGGAAATTGCAGAGGCTCGATAAGAGCCATCGGTGAGAAGCGCTGCCCCGGCAGAGCCCAGGAGAGCTGGGGTGCCACAAATGGCTGGAGTTCCCCCGAGCAGCGGGGACACCCCACACGGACACCCCACAAACAAACGCGGCCCTGCCTATCGAGAAAATGGTGATCTCTTCCCATCTTGCGGTGACAAAACACTTCCTATTCCACTCCAGCGTGTTGTCAAGCAACGAGCCTGGGGCTGCTGCCGCGGTGAGCCGGCAAGATACCGCGCTCGGCCAGCGCCCGCCGGGGAGCATCGCTGACACCAGCGCCTGGCAGAGGGGACAGCATGGCATCGGCCTTCACAAGGGGACAGCATGGCATCAGCCTTCACAAGGGGACAGGGCAGTGGCCAACGGCGGCGTGGCTCGCTCGGCCCGCGTCCCAACCGAAGGCAGGGATAAGGACACCCCAAAATCCCTGCTGCTTCAAAATTACTCGTGCCAGGGCTGGGTACCACCTCCATGGGCATCACCGATGCAACAGTGGGCGTTTCTCCAAGCATCTCCCTTCTCCCGTGTCTCACCCGTGGACTGACAAAAAAAACCTCCCCGAGGGCCACAGGGTGCCCTGAGGGACCCAGCGCAAGCCACCAGTGTCACCCACCATAGGCAAATAAGGGGTTTGGCCACAAGACCCCGCTCCAGCCTGTTGTTGTTTACCCACCCCCAGAAGCATCCCCAGCCCCACAGCCCCATGTCCTGCAGCCGGCAGGGACGGGCAGCACTGCAGCACAGCATCCTCACACGATGCCACGGGTCAGCCGTGCTGCAGCCGCCGGCCACACACGCGCTCAAACTACTGCAAGAGACAGATAATTGCAGTGGTTTAAGCTACTTTGCATTTACTTACTGGCAGTGAGCTCTAACCCACCCAATTACCGCAGCTCGGTTAACCAGCAGCAACTCAACAAGCCACAGCAACGCGCTCACCGGTGACTTATCGCCTGCGAAGCCGAAAAGGCGGCGGCTTCCCAGAGGTAGGACAAGTGCCATGGAGGGGGACCCCAGCCCCGCGGGGACAACGTGGGCAGGAGATGCGTGGAGGGAGGGGACATGCCCAGCGCTCATCGCTTTTGCATCCAGCCCCGCTCCCAATGGGGAGGCACCGCCAAACCGGCTGCAAAATGGGTGAAACCCACCCAAAAGGGGCACCCAGAGGACCAGAGGTAGCAGCTGGGGAGAGGATGGGCAGGGGGAGGCTGGCAGCAGCCCTGGGGATGGGGGTGGTCAGGGCACCCCATGTCACCACACTGGGTCACGGCTGCAGTGGCACTTCCCGGGCACGGTGACGGGCTGCAGGGCAGTGGGACAGAGCCAAGCACGGCCCCAGGCAGACAAAAGGAGGGAAAGGCCTCACAGGGTGAGCCCAGCAGCGGCGCCTCCCCACATCCCCACCACGCTCCTGCCAGGAAAGGTTGGACCAGATGATCCTTGAGGTCCCTTCCAACCTGGTATCCTGTGATTTTATCCTTCTGTGGGCATGGCAAAGCCCAAAGAGGGGCAGTGCCCACCCAGGAGCTGGTGCCTGTGGAGCCATGGGATGCCCAAAGGATGCCCACCACCCGCAGCCGTGGGATGCTCATGGGATGCAGAGCTGTGGGATGCTCACAGGACACAACCACCCCGGGGACCTCCCCGCGGGCAGGACACCCCCACCCCAGCACTGACAGAGCCCCTGACTGCAGCCCCATGCCCAGTCTGTGCCCTGCAGGGCCAGACAGGAGCTGAGGGCCACCAAAGCCCTAGGAGGGGGGCACAGCAAAGGGCTCTGGCCATAACCCACACCAGCCCCACGCAGCCCCCCACCGTGGCAGCTCCCGCACTGCCCTTTGCCTGGCTCTCCCCTGGCCCGGGGGGTCTCTGGAGCAATGTCCTGCCCTGAGCAGGGACCCGGCGCTGGGCTGGGGAGGCAGCAGCCGTGGTGGTGGCCTCCTCCCGCCGCAGTAAACACACGGACACGTGGTTCCTCAGCACCTCCGGCAGCCGCGATCGCTTCCAGGTCAGAGCTGGCCTCGCCGGTGGCCACAGAGCTGGACCCTGCTTGTCGGGTGGCCAGTGCTCCTGGGGGGGCTCCGGTCCTACCCCAGCCTGCGCTGCTTCGGCCCCCCCACAGCCCCAGTGCGAGGGGACCCTGTGTCCCCCAGAAAGGGCAGCCCCAGACAGGCTCCCTCCAGGGCAGGATCCGGCCCCACATCCAGCCCCGGGAATGGCGGCGCTGGCAGGCGACAGCAGCCACTGGGCACACAAAGGGCTCCCTCCCCCCGA